CCCCCAAAAGGGCAATAATATCACTGGTAAAGGTAAAAATACAGTAAAATAGCAGATCAACCACTTAGGAAGATCAAAAGACAAAAGTACTAAAATTACATATTTCAGTGATAAGGGGGTAATGGATACACACACACAAAATAAAAGGTTAGATATGATATCAAAAACATAAAATGTGGGAGGAGAGGAGTAAAAGAGTGGAGCTTTTAGAAAGAGGTCAAACTAAAGAGACTATCAACTCAATATAGATTGCTATATGTGTAGATTATCATATATGAACCCCATGGTAATCACAAACCAGAAACCTATAATAAATACACAAATAATTAAGAAAAAGGAACCTAAACATAATACTAAAGAGAGCCATCAAACCACAAGGGAAGAGAGCAAGAGAAGAAGAAAAGAACAGAAAAACTACTAAAACACCCAGAAAAAAGTAACAAAAAGGCAATAACTACATATTTAGCAATAGCTACTTTAAATGTCAATGGACTAAATTCTCCAATCAAAAGGCATAGGGTGGCCAATTGGATAAAAAAACAAGATCCATATATATGCTGCATACAAGAGACACACTTCAGACCTAAAGACACTCACAAACTAAAAGTAAAGAGGTGGAAAAAGATACTCCATGCAAAAGGCAAAGAAAAGAAACTGGGGGTAGCAGTACTTAGATCAGACAAAATAGACTTTAAAACAAAAACTGCAACAAGAGACAAAGAAGGGACTACATAATGATAAAGGGAATAATCCAACAAGAGGATGTAACACTTGTAAATATCTATGCACCCAACATAGGAGCACCTAAATATATAAAGCAATTATTAACAGACATAAAAGGGGAAATAGACAGTAACACAATAATAGTAGGGGACTTTAACACTCCACTTACACCAATGGATAGATCATCCAAACAGAAGATCAGTAAGGAGAAAGTGGCCTTAAATGACACATTAGACTAGATGGTCTTAGTAGATATATACAGAACACTCCATCCAAAAACCACAGAATACACGTTCTTTTCGAAGTCACATGGAACATTCTCCAGGATTGATCACATATTGGGCCACAAAACAAGTCTCAATAAATTTAAGAAGATTGAAATAATACCAAGCATCTTTTCTGACCACAAAGATTTGAAACTAGAAATCAACTACACCAAGAAAATCAGAAAAGCCACAAACATGCGAAGATTAAACAAAATGCTACTGAGCAGTGATTGGGTCAATGAAGAAATCAAAGGTGAAATCAAAAAACACCTGGAGACAAATGAAAATACAACATGCCAAAATCTATGGGATACAGCAAAAGCAGTTCTAAGAGGGAACATTATAGCAATACAGGCCTACCTCAACAAACAAGAAAAATATCAAATAAACAATCTAAAAGTGTACCTAAAGGAACTGGAAAAAGAAGAACAAACAAAGCCCAAAAATCAGTAGGAGGAAGAAATAATAAAAATCAGAGCAGAAATAAATTAAATAGAGACTAAAAACCAATAGAAAAAATCAATGAAACCAAGAACTGGTTCTTTGAAAAGATGAAGAACATTGACAAACCTTTAGCTAGAATCACAAGGAAAAAAGAAAGAAGGCTCAAATAAATAAAATCAGAAATGAAAGTGGAGAAATTGCAACAGACACACAGAAATACAAAAGATTATAAGAGAATACTACAAAAAGTTATACGCCAACAAAATGGATAATCTAGAAGAAATTGATAAATTCTTAGAATCATAAAACTTTCCAAAACTGAATCAAGAAGAAATAGGGAATTTGAATAGACCAATTACCAGTAAGGAGATCAAAACAGTAACCAAAAACCTCTCCAAAAATAAAAGTCCAGGATCAGATGGCTTCCCTGGTGAATTCTACCAAACATTCAAAGAAGACTTACTACCTATCCTTCTCAAATTCTTCAAAACTTTGAAGAGAAGGACAAGCTTTCTAACTCATTCTATGAAGCCAGCATTACCCTGATACCAAAACCAGACAAGGACAACAGAAAAAAAAGAAAATTACAGGCCAATATCACTGATGAACATGGATTCAAAAACCCTCAACAAAATACTAGCAAATTGCATACAACAATACATTAAAAAGATCATACGCCAAGATCAAGTAGGATTTATTACAGGGAGGCAGGGATGGCTCATCATCCATAAATCAATCAATGTGATACACTGCATTAACAAAATGAAAAATAAAAATCACAGGATCATTTCAATAGATGCAGAAAAAGCATTTGACAAGATACAACATCCATTTGTGATACAAATCTGAATAAAATGGGTATAGAAAGGAAGTACCTCAACATAATAAAGGTCATATGTGACAAACCCACAGCTAATATCATTCTCAATGGAGAAAAACTGAAAGCTCTCCTTCTAAGAACAGGAACCAGTCAAGGATGCTCACTTTCACCACTCTTATTTAACATATTATTGGAGGACTTAGCTGCAGCAATCAGGCCAGAAAAAGAAATAAAAGGGATCCACACTGGAAAGGAAGAAGTGAAACTGTCACTATTTGCAGATGACATGATTTTATGTATAGAAAACCCTAAAGAATCCAGGGAAAAACGTTCAGAAATAATAAATGAATATGGTCAAGTTGCAGGATACAAAATCCTGCAATCCAATACAAAATCCAATACAAAATACAAAATACAAAAAGAAAAATTAGTTGTGTTTCTATACACTAACAACGAAGTAGCAGAAAGAGAAATTAAGAATACAGTTCTATTTACAATAGCAACAAAAAGAATAAAATATCCAAGAATAAACTTAACCAAAGAGGTGAAAGATCTGTATACTGAAAACTATAAAATATTGTTGAAAGAAATTGAAGAGACACAAAGAAATGGAAAGATATTCTGTGCTCTTGGATTGCAAAATTAACATAGTTAAAATATCCATACTTCCTAAAATAATCTACAGATTCAATGCAATCCCTGTCAAAGTTCCAACAACATTTTTCACAGAAACAGAGCAAAGAATCCTAAAATTTATGTGGAACTGCAAAAGACCCCAAATAGCCCAAGGAATCCTGAGAAAAAAGAACAAAGCTAGAGATATCACACTCCCTGATAATAAAATAGACTGCAAACCACAGTAACCAAAACAATATGGTACTGGCACAAAAACAGACACACAGATCAATGAAACAGAATTGAGAGCCCGGAAATAAACTCACACATCTTTGGACAGCTAATTTTCAACAAGGGAGCCAAGAACATACAATGGAGGAAGGAAAGTCTCTTCAATTAATGGTGTTGGAAAAACTGGACAGCCACATGCAAAAGAATGAAAGTAGAACACTTTCTTACACCAGACACAAAAAAATTAACTCAAAATGGATTAAAGACTTGAATGTAAGACCTGGAACCATTAAACTTCTAGAAGACAACAAGGCAGTATGCTCTTCAACATTGGTCTTATCAGCATATTTTCAAGTACCATCTCTTACCAGGCAAGGGAAACAAAAGAAAAAAATAGACAAATGGGACCACATCAAACTTAAAAGCTTCTGCACAGCAAAGTTAACCATCAACAAAACGAAAAGACAACCTAACAACTGGGAGAAGATATTTGCAAACCATATTTCTGATAAGGGGTTAATATACAAAATATATAAATAACTCATATATCTCAACACAAAAAAAACTAACAACCCAATTAAAAAATGAGCATAAGATCTGAACAGACATTTCTCCAAAGAAGACACACAGACGGCAAACAGGCACATGAAAAGATGTTCAATATCACTAATTATCCAGGAAATGCAAATCAAAAGTACAGCAAGATGTCACCTCACTCCCATCAGAATGGCTATAATTAACAAAACAGGAAACAATAAGTGTTGGAGATGATGTGTAGAGAAGGGAACCCTCATATACTGCTGGTGGGAATGCAAACAGGTGCAGCCACTTTGGAAAACAGTATGGAGATTCTTCAAAAAATTAAAAATAGATCTACTATATGATCCACCTATTCCACTGCAGGGTATTTATCCAAAGAACATGAAAATACAAATGCATAATGATATATGTACCCCTATGTTCATTGGAGCATTATTTACAATAGCTAAGACATGGAAGCAACCTAGGTGCCCATCAAGAGACAAATGGATAAAGAAGACATGGTATATATACACAATGGAATACTACTCAGCCATAAGAAATGATGAATTCCATCCATTTGTGACAACATGGATGGACCTTGAGGGCATTATGCTAAGTGAAATAAGTCAGAGGGAGAAAGTAAAATACCGTATGATCTCACTCATAAGTAGAAGATAAAAACAATGACAAACAACCACATAGAAACAAGGATTAGATTGGTCATTACCAGAGGAGAATGGGGGAGGGAGGAGAGTGAAAGGGATGATTAAGCACGTGAGTGTGGTGATGGATTGTAATTAGTCTTTGGGAGGTGAACATATTGTAATCTACATAGAAATCGAAAATTGTAATGATGTACACCTGAAATTTATATAATGTTATAAACTACCGTTACCACAATAAGCATAGAATAAAAACATTTTTAAAAAGGTATATTTTGATGTTTGCAATAAAAAAATTATATTAAAAAAATTAGAAATACTATACAGCTATGAAAATGAACAGCTGGTATGCCTAAACCTAAAAGGATATCCATGGCCTATTGTGAAATGAAAAAAAAGAAAAATGCAGAGTAACATGTAATAAATAGCCCCTTTTTCAGAATATGAATTTCATCAAGAACTCTAGTTACTTTGTATGCACACTGAATTTGAAAAGCCCTGTTGTGTCTTGAAAATTTTGTAGTCAATCCAATACAGAATTGTGTACCAATCCTGTGTTGCAAAGGGCAAAACATGGTGGCAGTACTGCCTTGTTGTGGGAGGAGATAGAAGTTGAAAGTAAGAACACTTACAAGATGAATTCCCCACCCTCTTGGAAAACAACCTGAAATTCAGATTGTTACATTTTAGTTAAACTGGGCTGTGCTTTTATTTTAGATCACCGTCTTTTCGATAGTTGCTACTGATCTAAATGAATATGGATTTCTAGGGCTATTTCTCTGCACCATATTAATACCACCCTTCACAATGATTGGCTCTCTGTTCATTTTTTCTGAGGTGAGTAATTTTATTCCTTCCTAGGGTCATGAAATATGCAGTCATTGGAGAAAGCCTTGAATATTATGAAAATGTAGGTAGAGTTCTGAACTGCACAAAGTTTGAAGTCTGTCTTTGGAAAGCCCATTCTCTTACCACTGGCATGAGCCATGTTCTCAGTCAAAAGGAAGCCCTGCTTTGGTTTATGAAGGTCAAAGGCAACCCCACAGCAGTAGAATTTTACAGTTCTCATGGTAAACCTCACTTCTGGAAAACAATGATGCTACTGGGAGGCTCATGAGATGCTCTTTTTCGGTCAATTTTGGACATTTTAGGCTTAAGGCAATGGGAAATGCCAAGTAGCCAGTTGGACATGTGAATCTGAAATTCAGTGTGTGGAGTTTGTGGAGTTTGGAATGATGTTAAATACTTGAGATTCATCAGCATCTAAATGATATTTAAAGCCATGGAACAAGATAATATAACCTATAGAGTAAGTGTAGATCGAATGAATAGAGGGCCAAGGATTTGACCTTGAGCTCCAAAATTTAAAGATTGAGAAGATGAAGAGTCAGAAAATCAGCTTGAGAAGGAGCCTGTGAGGTAGTAGAAAAAATAGGGGACTGTTGTGTGTAAGGATCTCTTCTCAGAAACTCTCCTTACACACTTAAAGTATCACTATACAAGGATGTGTGTCAGATGGCAATAAAGAATGTTTCAAAATGGAGATAGTGATTCAGCCATCGAGTGAGAGGTCCAGAAAGATGACAATTCAGAAGAGACCACTGGATTCAGCTACATGGTGATATTAGTAACATACGTTTCAATGGAAGGGTGAACACAAAGGCATAGTAAGAGTCACTTGGTAGAGAATGTGAAGTGAGGATGTAGTGCAGTGGGTGTATACACATATTTCTAGAAATTTTGCTAAAAAGGATACCAGAGAGATGGATGAGTAAATGAAGGAGGAGAATATACTTTTGTTTAGGAAAGGAGATACTAATATGATATGAGAGAAATTTCTGACGAAAAGACAGATATGGAGGACCTAAGAAGCCAAGTCCTTGAATAGCTGAGAAAAAATGACATACAGGGCACAAGCAGAGAGGTTGCCTTCCTTAAAGGCAGGAACATTCTGTCTATTTATCAAGATCGTAGCCAGAGTATATGAATACAGAGGCAGATGGTTTAGTAGCTTCAATGGTAGAAGATGCAATGATTCTCTTCTGACTGATTCTACTGTCTTAGGGAAAGAGGTGACATTATCAACTGACAGTGAGGTGGAGGAGATATTGGGATTTTGAGGATAGAGGAAAAGATGTGAACAATTATTTCAGAGTGGTCAGTTCTACTGAGAGGCAGTGCTAAAGGACCCCTGCCCTGCTTTTCGAGTGAAGTCAGCAAAGTTGAGTGTTTTGTTACCATAATCTGCTTCTCAAATGCAGTTCAGGGCAGACGGAGAGGTGGGTTCAGTCAGGGTGAACGTTTTGCAAGATGAGTCTGACAAAGAAAAGGCTAAGGGAGCAGTCGTTCTCTATAAAGAGGGATTACAACAACGGACCACGGATTCTAAGCTAGGGAATGAAGACATGAAGGAAAGGAGGTCTACAGACAGGGACAATGTTGTGAGGTTGGTGGGTGGGAGGTTCATCAACTCCAAATTATGGAATACGGATACTAGAGTAACGAAGCTGAAAAAATAAGATGTGATGGCAGACAGAACAAAGATTAGGGACCTGAAGTTGATCTCGGATGTGGTACAGTTACTGAAGTGGGTCACGGAAGCATTTAGGAGAACAAGATCATTTGAAATGATGTCAGGTCCTGGCAAATCATCCAATGTGAGAAACAAAACCACCTCTAGATGGTGGATGACTGTGACAGAGATTTACTGCATCAGCTTAAAGCTGCTCAGAAAAAAAGTCTTGGAAAATATAGTTCAGGAAGCAAAATTAGCCCTTTACTCTTTATTCACTGAAGAGTTGAAGGATGTTTCAAAACATATTGTAAATCTAATGAAAACCACGCACTTATGTGTATGCATGTGAAACTCCAGGTGAAGAGCTTTGTTTCTAGCATGAGGGATTGTCCTGATTATTCTCCAGAGTGGGTGCAGTAAGGGACGGCAATGTAATGGTGCTAGGGCTCCTGGGGAAGAAGAGAGGGAAGGAGCACAGACGCAGAGAGAAAGGCAGGTAAAGTTAGGGGAGAGGGTTTGTCTTAAGACAAATCTTGCCCATGGCTTCAATGGGTCCTGCCAGCACCACCCAGGATTCTCCTAGCAGGCAAATCCTGCTATCTCACAGTGTTACATATAAGAGCATCTGAGCCTATAGCCAAGCACTGGTTAACAGTCATCAAGTGACCTTGGAAGCAAGGAAGACACACTGCACAGTCAGAAATTGACTTTTACCTGATGCACCAGAGAGAATCACATCGAATGCTGGCAAGGTCATTTAACAGGCATTAATTTGTCTTATGTGAGATGAGATTCACAAACAGATGATGGTTCATTTAAATGTAATTTTTTCCTCATTTTACAGATTTCTCCTGACTCTGCGTATTATTTAGGAGCTTCAGAACAGCAAATTGTATTTCTGGCATTGCTAATAGTAAGAAAACATTTCCATTTAAATGTTCTTGCATGAGGGGACACATTTGTATGCTTTGCATTAAATTCAAAATTTAATTTCAGTACTTAAAAATTTGGCACTTTAGGCATCTGAAGCAAAGCACACTCAAAGAGGCTTTAAAATCTGGACCAACATCTTTATAATGACCATCTGACGCCAAGTGTGAAGCCCAAACTCCAAATGTCGTGAAAAGCACTAGCATCAACTTACTACTACGACTCCTGTCACAGTTTCTCTGAAGAGCAGTGAAGCTAACCCTGAGAGTTTTATGGGATGTTAAATAGGTTGTCTTTTAATCCTGTGAAAGTGTTATCCAGTCTACCTTTATATATGATCAAATTCCTTAAGTCAGTTCCAACACTGAAATCGCTATTTTTATGGTGATACTCATTTTGATTGTCTTTTGTTTTTCCCCCTAGCCTTACCTTCATTTTTTCATTTTCCTTTTTGTTCTACGATGTCTGGAAATGAACTTTAGGAAGAAATCAATGAGAAAGGATCCTGTGTTCAGGTTGAGAAAATTCAAATACAATTTCATGTCTTATTTTAACATTCGTTGTTTAAACATTTTAATAAGCCTCAATTAACTAAAAAGTACTATGCAGGATTGTTTTTAAGGGACTGTGTAGTATATGAAATTATAATTCATGGTACTTTAATGAGTAAGAGAAGTCACAGTAGCACACATCAGACACTGAAAAATTAAGGGCAGACTATAATATCACTGACATACCAGAAGAAAGTTATATACAAGAGGTGGAATCTTTAAAATAATAGGTAAGTATAGATAAGCAATTAGATAAGTGTAGCCAAACCAGGAAGGAAGAGAAGGCTGAGGAAAAGAAAGAAAGTTGAAATAAATACCACCTTCTTGAAGATTTGAAAAGGGAGCTGGGAACAAACTTGAAGGCTTGTGTTGGAGGATAATGGAAAATTAAATTGAAGTTAAACATTAGAGGGTCTTGGAATAGGGAAGCGAAGAGAAGGTTTTGAAAATTACAGAATGGGAAACAAAGGCAGGTGTGTTTAAAAACCTGACCTGGCTCACAAAATACGAATCAAACTCAAGTCTAATGTAGGTGGTGAGAAGTGAACAGGAGAGTGAGAAGGTGACAGCCACGCTTTAGGAAATCAGCTGACAACAGTAATTTGGATGGCATGAGGGAGAGAGACAGCAATCAGCAGTAATCAGTGGTGGGGATGATAAAGGAAGGAATTAGATTGCTATCAGTAAGAAAGAATGATTTTGACACAGATTCCCACGAAATGACAGTGCTTAGGTACTGATGACTATATATCCGGGGTTTTCTGGGAGATAGCTCTGCTTCCAAATGTTTGGGTTCATTGCTCTCACAAAGCCTTCAGAATCCTAAAATATCGGTGTCAAAATTACAGTTTCTAGATTCCCTTCTCATACAACTGTACCCCAAAATCCTTTGCCAGAGTGTGCACTGTTTTATTGTTTAAAAAAAAGTCATGACTGACAAGGAGAATTAAACTTAGGCAGAAAGCTAGGATGATGTATAAGTGGCATCATTTGACTCACTGATGGAAACTAAGCTGTTCAAAAGGCAGACGGTGTAGAGCAGAAAAATGGGGATTATCTTGTGCTTACAGTTACTCAATCTATTCACAGAATTAATAGCAGTTATAGAAAATCCATTATTTTTGCTACAAGTTTTTTAACTGGAAACCTGTTATTTTCACATTGTTTTGGTTTTAGAATTTCTCCAAGAAGCAGTGATGTTTTTCCAAACCCAGAAGAACCCGAAGGAGAGGATGAAGATGTTCAGATGGAAAGAATGAGAACAGCAAATGCCATGACAGTCCCAGACTTTGATGAGGTAGAATGACTGAAAATGCCCTTCATCAAATAATTTCCTATCTCAGATAAAGTGGGCAACTTTCTAATCTTAATTTTTGAAAAACGCTTTGAGGTTCTTTCATCCTTACACATGCAGCTCATTACTTGACTTCAGTAAATATGCAATACCCACAAAGATGAGAAAACAAAGGAAATACACACACATACACACTAACTTGTTAATGTATTTTTCAGAGTCACAGTTTTCGTAAGTAAAGCTACACATTACAAAACCTCAGTAAGACTTTGTGAGTTTTAGAAACTGAATAAAGCTTAGTGCAAGCAATTCAAAGCAGAGATTTCGTCAGAGGCGTGTATGTGTTTGTGTGAGTGAGTGTGTGTCTTAAGAGTTCTATTCGTTTAGTGGATGTCTCTATTCCTATCTTCTGAGGAAGAGTGAGCACAAATCACATGATACAGTGCAAATGCCCTTTCCCTGTGGGACTATAGATTGAGAGAGTTCATTCAAAAATGGCAGTTTCTAGGGGAAGGACTGGTTTGATTCAGGATTTGGTATAGGGAGAGATTGGATCATAGGAAGTATGGAGCGCTCACTTATTTCAAGGTGAACATAAAGCCCTGTTGTTATTTACTTATCTTTACAGAAACCAGTCATCATTGCCAGCTGTCTACAGAAAGAATATGCAGGCAAAATGAAAAATTGCTTTGCCAAGGGGAAGAAAAAAGTGGCCACAAGAAACGTCTCTTTCTGTGTTAAAAAAGGTTAGAAACAGGAGTTCCGTGAGCAAAACGATCTTGACGTCTGAAGATGAGGTCTTTGGAAGGGAATGATACTATCCAAATCTGGCGCCTTCTACTGCTAGACATGAAAGGCAGCCAACTCATCAGCAAGCTAAGGCTGCTCCCTCCTGTTTAAAAGCCTCAGCTATACTTATAACAATGCTTTTAACTTTGCTTAGGAAGATAGTTACATCTGTTCTCTTGAAACAAACAAACAAAAAAGAACCACCACCACTACCGCCAAAAAAAGGAGCCAGTCTTTCTCTTAAGAAGGATGGTATAGCTTTCTAAAGACTATAATTAATTTCACAACATGGACTACTACTCAGAAGAGCGCTCACTGGGGCATAGTAGCGCATGCTTCATTCTAACAAGTAGCACATTTTGTGGAAGTGTTGGTTAAGTGCAACAGGCTTTGGAATCAAGACTTGTTTCAAATTCCAGCTCAACCTCTTATTGGCTACATGACCTTGGGCTAGTTATTTATCTTCTTTATGCCTCAGTTTCCTTACCTATAAAATGGCATTAGTGATAACGCTCAGGTTTGTGTGTGTGTGTGTGGGTGAAGAATAAGTGAAATAATGTATATAGTGAGTTTGACCTAGAACTTGACACATGGTGAGTCTTCAAATAGTGTTTTCTTTGAATTTTTATTGTTATTATTTGAAGTTATAATTCTGAGCACACCTATTTCTTTCAGGTGAAGTTATAGGGCTGTTGGGACACAATGGAGCTGGTAAAAGTACAACTATTAAGATGATAACTGGAGACACAAAGCCAACTGCAGGGCAGGTCAGTAAAACGCACTGAAATATGGTCATTAATGCTGCCTAGAACAGACACTTTACAACGAATATTGATGACAACGTTAAAAATACTTAGGCAATTCTGTCCTATTAATCTCTGTGATTTATGCATCGAATGAAGAGGATTAAAAATTTCTCTCCTTAAATCCAAAAACAGTTAGATACTGAAAAGGGCTACATATTATCTATAGTATGCCTTTTACTGAATGAAAATAGAGTCCTTAAAAGGAAGTATATATTCCTTGTGATCAGAGATCTTTGTTTTGTTGATTTACGTGTCCTGAGAACTTGTTGAACTGAGTTGCGTTATCCAGCATCACATCAGAAACCACTGTCAGAATAATGACAAGTCCTGCTTGTGTGGTTGCAGAGACATGAATCTTCATACAGTCACATGTCACTTAATGACAGGGATACATTCTGAGAAATGTGTTGTTAGGTGGTTTTGTCATTGTGGGAACATCACAGAGCGTACTTAGACAAACCAAGATGGTATAGCCTACTACACGTCTGGGCTATATGGTACTGATCTTTTGGGAACACCATTTCGTATTTGCACTGGACTGTGTTTAATAACTATTCTCTACTTGTATGCTGTAATTAAACATCATATGTGATTGTGAAACAATAAAAGTCCATTATCAAGTGAAGTATCATAGATTTTTACAAAGAGCATGCACAACAGAAACTCTCGTATAATTATTGACACATATCTTGTCCCAATTGATACAATGGTATGACCAGTAATCATAGATAAATTGAGCAGCAGAGAGTATCATTATAGATACACTGAAGTTCTTGATGCACAACAGTGATGCTGAGATAGGGGGAAAAGATCCAGAATTTATTAAGAAAATAGAGATCTTAGGTTAGAGAAAAAATTAAAAATTACCTAAACTCCAAAGCAAAAACTAGAATTGTATATGAATACTACTTGGCAATATGTCTAGGCCAAGTTGGGTAAAATGATGGACAGAGGTCCAAAGAAACACAACTTTGAAAGGGAGATGCTATTGACGTTTGAGAGAAGGTTAAGGTCAGCAGGAACATTCATCAAGAGAGGTTCCACAGTGGTGTTGACAGCTACCAATATTTCCTAGATCGTCTTTCCATTTCTACTCTTGCCTCACACAGCAGCCAGGGCAGTCCTTAAAAATTGCAAATGAGATCTTGTCACTAGCCTGCTTACAACCCCTCACTAGAATTGATCCCAAATCTTTACCAAGGCCACAAAAGGCCCTGCAAGATCTGGGCTGTCAACCACTTTTCACACCCCCGTTGCTCACACTGGCCTTCAGCTGTCTTCCAACTGCAGGGTCTTTGGGTTTGTTTTTCCTGTGGAGTGCCCTTTCTTGACTCTTCATGTGCTTGGTTACCTCCTTCTCATCACCTTAAATTTATCTTCCCTGAAGGCCTTTCCCTGACTACACTAGTAACTAAATCAGATCTCCCTTTTTATTCTTTAGCACATCTGTCTCCTTAAAAGCATTAAGCAGGGGCTGTAATTCTTTTACTCATGTATTTACTTGTTTATTTTCTGTTTCTCTCTCTAGATTGAAAGTTCTATGAGGTCAGGTTAACTAGTTCTCTCCCTTATATTTGAGAGAAACAATATAGCCTCAAGGTCAAAAGCTTGGATTCTGAAGGTAGATGCCAGTTTTAACTCCCAGCTTGACTTTGTGAGACCTCCCACAAGTTTCTAAATCTATACACCTCAGTTTTCTCATATGTAAAACAGGGATGATGAAACTAATACCTAAGTCATATAGGGTTTTTCTAAGGATAAAGTAATTTGAAACATAAAATGTTTATATTCTGGTACATACACAGTAAGCATTGGTACACATTATCTGTTACTATTATTATATAGCACAGTATCTGGCTCATAATAATAATAAATGCTATCATTGGCTCCTATGTGCCCGACTAGTGCTCAGAGCTTTTTGTTTACTACCTTAGTTCATGATTTCACAAGCTCAACACTGGTGACATTTTGGACTGGATCATTTTTATTGTGAGGGGCTATCATGTGCATTTTTGGAGATATAGCAGCATCCCTGGCCTCTACTCACTAGGTCCCAGTAGCATCCCAATTTTGACAACCAAAAATGTCTCCAGACATTACCAATTGTCTTTTGGGAGGAGGATTGCCATAATTGAGAACCAGTGCCTTATTTAATCCTCACAATGAACTTGTGAAACAGATCCTATAATTACAACTATTTTTACACTAGGGAATCGAAATCCTCAACAAGTATCCAAACCCTTAGAATGTTTGAATCAATGAATGAAGTCAAACGATGGACAACCAAATAAGCAAGCTTGAATTCAACTAGGGTGATGGACTTGGTAATAAAGTCTAAACTATAATGGAGGGATATAACAATGTGGAATATCTGTCTTCTGATTTATTGAGTTTTTATCATCTTTTCCCCAGAACTAAGAGATTACTTGTTTACTTTGGTACTCTTGGCAGCCGTGTGCGTAAGAGAAGGACATCACTGAAATATACACTCAGATTTACACACACACACACAATTTTGATGTGAATGTGAGAATGAACTTTTTGTATAGGTGACTTTGAAAGGGAGCAGTGGAGGGGACACCATCGGGTTCCTGGGGTACTGTCCTCAGGAGAACGTGCTGTGGCCCAACCTGACGGTGAAGGAGCATCTGGAGGTGTTCGCCGCCGTGAAAGGCCTGAGGAAAGAGGACGCCGCAGTTGCCATCACACGGTACATGGGAGCCACACCTGTCTCTACTAGAGGGCTGTGATAGTGATGATGTTCATACAGTTAAGGAAAGGAGATTCCAACTGATGCCTCCATGCTTGCGGGAGAAGACTTAGTCATCTAGAACCTACTTTAGTGTTATGTTCTCTCACTTTAAGCCCGGAGAGAAAAAGTTTATTGATTATTCTTACTACAGAAAGAAGTCATTGAAAATATGAGTTTGACTACCATGAAAGATTCATACAGTATCCTAGGTAGTTTCACTTTCATCGTCACTCTGAATATTCTTTTAAAAATTTCTCCACTGTAGTGTTTGTTCTGATTTGCTTGTTCTCCCACCTTCATTCCCCACTGTGCAGGATTGACTCACTCTGTTTCCTTCAGGTTGGTGGATGCGCTCAAGCTGCAGGACCAGCTGAAGCTCCGGGTGAAGGCCTTATCTGAGGGAATGAAGAGGAAGGTAGGGTTGGGGCTCAGCGTTACTCTGCGCACCCTGCAAATGGGTGCCACATGCGCTGTTCCTCTCGTTCCAGCTGTGCTTTGCGCTGAGCATCCTGGGAAACCCATCGGTGGTGCTTCTGGACGAGCCGTCCACAGGGATGGACCCTGAGGGGCAGCAGCAAATGTGGTGAGGAGATGTCATCAGCACCCCTAAATGGATTTATTAATCCTGTAACAGCTGAGCTTCAAAACTGTAGTTTACTTATAAAGTGAGAGACATCCACATTATCAGGAACAGTGACATTAAGGGAAAAAATCTGATGTGATATCACAGCCAGTTTTTATTAAAGAGAAAAAGATAATTCTAACAACCTAACATGTGCTCTAAGAATTTCATTTTCATCTTAGATGTTCTGGGTGTGCACGACCCATTTTTATATTCAACCAAATCAAACTATTATTAAGTTTTAAATTTCTGCAAGCACCCAATACACAATTCTTATGGAAGAGAAAAAATTGCAAGTCTTCAACATATTCTTTAGTTACTTTACTTTTTACATTTTGTACATTATATCATGCTTTTAAATAAGTTCTCCTAATTTTCTTCTTTTTTCCCACTGCTTTCTCATAAATATTCTTGAAATTCAGCATTTTTCTAAACAACCTTGTACCCAGTATCATTCTCTACATTCAGCCCACGCCGTGCTCTGAATTAGGCATCCTAACCAATGGTTTGGTTATTTCCATGCCTGTTGTCTCTCCAGTAATCTTTCTTTGTCTAATCTGAATTCCCTAATTGTTTTATATGTGCCTACAGAAACGTCTTTAAAAATTGTTTTCATTTTACCTTGAGCATTCCTCCGAGTTAACATTTCCCTTGGCCTAACTTTAGGCAGGCGATCCGGGCCACCTTTAGAAACACGGAAAGGGGTGCCCTCCTGACCACTCATTACATGGCAGAGGCTGAGGCTGTGTGTGACCGCGTGGCCATCATGGTGTCCGGAAGGCTGAGGTGGGTGCCTGTCCAAGCCCACCCTTGGCCCCCAGGTGTGCCCTGCACAAAGGACATTGCCCTGCACATGATTATCACTCTGAGAAGCTGGAGTAGCTGGCTGCTCCCGTTCTACATGCCCTGTTCCTGGCCTCCAGAGGCCAAAAATCACAGCAGTAGATTTCTCTGTCCTTTTTCTTGCTTGACTTCATCCTCCTCCCACCTCCAGATGTATCGGTTCCATCCAACACCTGAAAAGCAAATTTGGCAAGGATTACCTGCTGGAGATGAAGTTGAAGACCCCTGCGCAAGTAGAGCCCCTCCACAGTGAAATCCTGAGGCTCTTCCCTCAGGCTGCTCGTCAGGAAAGGTAAACACAGGTGGTGTTTACTTTCCTCTTGGTCTTTGTTTTGTTTTTCTATTATGGCAATGAGAAATAAAAGCTTTATCTTCTCATTTTTTTTTTTAACTCTGGTAATTATGAGTACTTTAATTACTAGAGAAAGGCTCAATTCGGAGAAATCCCATAGGAGGGAAACAAGAGAATAAAGTGCTGATCTGGAAGCTGATTCTTGTAAGGGAATTCCATTCCCAGGGGTCCATGATGTGCCAGGCACTAATGTGTGCATGTACCTAGATCATCTCAGTGGTCCATTCTAGAGGGTAAAACCATCCCCATTGTATGAGATCAACTGCCTAAAGCCTGTCTGTGCCCAGTACCAGGCATCACTCCAAGCTCAGTGAATAGTGTCTCTTAACATTTTTTTTTTTTTAAAGATTTTATTTTTTCCCCTTTTTCTCCCCAAAGCCCCCCGGTACATAGTTGTATATTCTTTGTTGTGGGTCCTTTTAGTTGTGGCATGGGGGACGCTGCCTCAGCGTGGTCTGATGAGCAGTGCCATGTCCGCGCCCAGGATTCGAACCAACGAAACACTGGGCCGCCTGCAACGGAGCGCGCAAACTTAACCACTCGGCCACGGGGCCAGCCCCATGTCTCTTAGCATTTTATTATTACCAGTAATAGCACTTAAGGCTCAGGTGGGTTAGATAATGTCAGATAACTAGTGGTGGAGCCAGGAGGTGAACCCAGTTCTTTTTACTTAAATGTTCTTCTCTTCTCATTAAGAAAGAAGGATAAGTCATCCTGCTTCTTCCCTTCCTGACGTGTAGGTGCTGTCAGTTTCCTCCCCTTTGTCCCCCATCCTCCCTAGGGTAAAATGGAGCCTTTTCATAAAAGCTTTCTAAATGGTTCTGCTTTAGTAAATTGACTTCTTGTTGATCAAAGAGCATTCACGTCATGGCTATAGCCAATGCTATACAGATGCATACACTTAAGTGAATTATTGATGAGATTGTTGCTCCTTTTTAGACTTACATCCATCAGTGGTTATGCTCTGGAAACCTGGAGTTCAGCCTCACTCTCTTTTCCTCACAGATACTCCTCCCTGATGGTCTATAAGTTGCCTGTTGAAGATGTGCAACCTTTATCACAGGCTTTCTTCAAATTAGAGATAGGTAAGAGTGACTGCGTAGAGATAAGACTCTAGAAACAGATCAATTCAAATCTTGCACAAAACCAGTGTAATAAGTACATGAACAAATAATCGTGATGTTATACTATAAATAGATTATTAAGACATTTATTCCAGTGTTTCTCAGCCAGGGGTGATTTGACAATGCCTGCAGATATTTTTGGTTGTCATGACCAGTGGGGCGGAGGGGGTTGGAAGGGTGGGTGCAACTGATATTTACTGGGTCAAGGCCAGGGACAATGCTAAACATCCTACAATGCACAGGTCAACCCTCTGCCAGAACAAAGAGTGATCAGACCAAAACATTATTAGTGTCTAGGTTGAGGAACACTTCCCTGACTGAATAGGCTCCAGAAGGAAGAGACCACTGGCATTTGGGTCTAGAGTATCCACAAATTCATACAAACAGAGAGATATACATTTGGTTTTGTCTGTCTGTACTATTTGATACATTAGATGCTGATAAGGAGGTTCCTCTTTGTTGAGGTGAGCTAAGTCATAACTGTTTTCTAGAGTCTTGAATTTTGATCTTTGCATACTGCCTTGATCTATTGTGGACTCAGTTTTGCCTGTCACACCAGTGTGTGAAATCTAATTGAGAGAAGGTTAGGATCACCCTAGAGAGGTTTTCTTTTCACTTTCTCATTCTCTCAGTCACCTTCACTCTATGGTCCATGGGACTATGTCCCACAATGACTATTTTGGCTTAGTGACCAATTTTGCATCATTCCAGTGGGAGGGATTTGAACAAGCAAAAGGCTTTTATAACTAATTAGGAGCAGAGAGAGAGAGAGATGTTCAGAAAAGCTACCTCCCTGGAATACAATATAGGCTTTTCTTAAAAGCCTTCTCATGTTTCTGCTTTCAAAAATATTCCCTCCTACCTCAAACTCCTTCTGCTGTGCTTAATTCATTAAAACTGAAGTTCTCATTTAGGGGAAAAAAAAACACAACTTTTTATCACAGTTTTCTGCCCCGTTATGTGAAGATTACACAAAGTACAAAATATGGAAATGTAAGCTATCATTTTTTTTTCTCCAAACGTTAAGTTGGACACAGTTACATTCTTAGCTGGAATACATTTATTGCATGACCTAGGCCCAGTAGCTTAGAAGCAAAGTGCATGCCCCATGACTATCCCTTTGTCTTGCCACATAGACTCATTCTTGCAGACCATCAGACCACTTTTGGGTGATGCAAATCCCAACAAAACTCAAGGCTTACATACTCCCTATGGGTCAGATTTACTTCAGATTTGAAGACTTGAAGCTAGGAAGTAGAACGGTCGGTTTTATCTCTCTTCTTATCTTATTCCCTCATCTACTCAAAAGCTGATGTTTTAGGCCCCTCTAGGGTGGAGAGTAAGGGGATGGGAGAGGAGATAATATGGTAGCAAAGCTTGATTTGATCATAGAGCTGTACTGTTGTGTCAGGCCCTCCTATGTAGAGATGGACAATTGCTGGCCCTTTCTTTCATGGGTGCTTTCGTGAGTTCCTTGAAGACTCCCTCTCCCCTCCCATCTGTAGCCTGTGATGGCATTCCACCCTTGGTGGGGAATGATGCCTCCTCCTCTTGGTCTCTTGTGAACACCGTATAGCCCCTGGGCCCCTTCTTGGAATCCCTTTACCCTGCCAGGTGATCCTCTTATGGTACCTCCCCCTTCGAAGTCCATGAGAAACAGATTCTTTGCTTCTCCAGATTCTGAGAGTGCAGGGCCATCAGCCATCCACTGCACTTTTTCTTTATGTGTTTCCAGACATGAGTCAAGGCCTCATGCCCCTGTCTCCAGATTGCAGGCCAATCCCACCTCATCCTCTGTCCATAGAGAGGAGAAAGGAAATGCCACAGCAATGTGATAACTGTCTAAAAGAAATCTTTGCTTTCCAGTCTCACCTTTCCATTCATTATTTTCTTCTTCCTGTGTGTCTGCACCTTTGGGGTCTCAGTTACAGTCCACATTGGCAACAGATGGTAAACTCAAAATAAGATAATTCAAGGCAGTTTGGTTTATAAAAGGACTATTTGCAAGGGTGCAAGTAACAGTGCAGTTACTTGAGGCTAGAAACAGCAGAAGTGTTAACCATTGTTAGGTCCAAAGGGACTAAGAGAAGAAGCAGTGATTGGAACTTAGAAGCAGGGTCATCTAGAATTTTCCACCTTGAGAGAAGCAGTGATCTTGAATCAAGGGATGCACTTCATATCAGGGAAGAAGTGAAAGAATAAAGGCCTTCATCTTCCCTCTCCTCTGTCCCTCCTCCTGAGTTTTCCACTGGTGGAACCCACCAGGTGGAGCCTCTTAAGTCAGCCTCTGGGGAAAAAAGCAGGATGGAGAAAAGTGAGGGCGGATATAGAAGCACACATGGTAGTTGTCCAGCACAGAGGGAACCATCTCTTAGTATATTCTGCATAGGCGGTCTGGAACCTTTTATATTGTTTTTTAGTTTTGTGGTGCCTCTTCCCAAACTCTAAGAGCATGGGAGAGTATTTCCACCCTAGTACAAGACTATCTGGTGAAAATGCCTTCTCACATTTAGTCCCAGAAAATTTACTACAGTATCTTTTATATTTAAGATTGATTTCTATTTACTTTTTGTACATGACTTGATAAACTTGTGAATAAAAAATTTATGAACTCCTAAGACATGTTTATCATTACGCAGTTAAACAGAGCTTCAACCTGGAGGAGTACAGCCTCTCACAGTCCACTCTGGAGCAGGTGGGTCAGTTTTAGTGATTTATATCACCCTTGGAACATAAATATATAATGTGTGTGTATGCTTTGCACTCACTTGGAGTTATAGGAAGTAGGGTGACATCCCCTCTATTTCTTGCCCCCATTACAGGTTTTCTTGGAGCTCTCCAAGGAGCAGGAGCTGGAGGACTTTGTTGAGGAAGTTGATCTCTCAGTGAATTGGAAGCTCCTCCCACAGGAAGCACCTTGAAGCCCCAAATACTCTGCCTCTCTTTAAGCTTGTGACAATTTTTTAAGATAATAGTTTATAGCATTAATATACCTTATGTGAGATATGGTGCAAAATGCTTTTGAAACTTATGTTCTCATTTTTCTCAATAATATTACTTATAAAGGACCAAAGTGGGTCTTCTTAACAATGTTACTTATAGAGGTGTTACAGGCCAAAGTGGGTCTGCTCCTTGGTGAGTTGAAATCTAAGTCTTCACCAGAAGTAGTTGTCACACAAAGTATAATTTTATTTGCAGCATGCAGCAAGTAAAGGAGACCACAGGGAATAATTTCACAAAGCTGTGGCTCCCCAAGCAAAGGGAAAGTGGTACCTTTATTTGGGGTAAGGAAGGAATATTCAGAAGGGAAGTTTTGTCATCACATGTAGAGGTGAGTATAAGCTTGCACAGGTGTAGTTTGAAAACATGCTTTCACATGCAACACGTATTACACTAACAAGGCTTAAGCTTCTACTGGGGCAGTGATCTTAGCATTATAATGAGGCGAAGGTTACTTTTGTACATTTCTCCACCTGTCACTATACCATGGGACTATAGTCATCTTGGGAAATTCTGCAGGAGCACCAGCAAATGTGGAGGTGGTATTGTTGTCTGAGAGGTAGGTAGTAGTTTTTTACAGAAGGAGGCAGGAGGGATATTGCTATTTCGTTACAGAAATAAAATGACTATGATCATGTATCACTTAACAAGGGGGATACATTCTAAAAAACGTGCCTTGGGGCTGGCCCCATGTTGTAGTGGTTAAGTTTGCTGCACTCTGCTTCAGTGGCCTGGGTTTGTGGGTTTGGATCCTGGGTGTGGACCTACACCACTCATCAGCCATGATGTGACAGTGACCCACATATAAAGTGGAGGAAGATTGGCACAGATGTTAGCTCAGGGATAATCTTCCTCAGGAAAAAAAGTGATGTATCTTAGATCATTTTGTTGTTGTGTGAACATCGCAGAGTGTACTTACACAGATCTAGATGTTATAGCCTACTACACGCCTAGGCTATAGAGTACTAATCTTATGAGACCACCATTGAATATGTGGTCTGTTCTTGACCAAAATGTCATTATGTGGCACATGACTGTATAAGGGAATATTATGAACATCTGTATGCGTACAAATCAGAGAACTTAGATGAAATGGGAAAATTCATAGAAAGTCACAAATTAGCAAAACTGACTGAAGAAGAAGTAGAAAATTTGAATAGAACTGTAACAAGTAAAGAAATTGAAATAGTAATTAAAAAAAAAATCTCAGGCCCATAGGGCTGGCCTGGTGGTGCGGCAGTTAAGTTTGAAGGTTCTGCTTTGGTCGCCTGGGATTTGCCAGCTTGCATCCTGGGTACAGACCTATGCACCACTTGTCAAGCCATGCTGTGGCAGGTGTCCCACATATAAAGTAGAGGAAGATGGGCACAGATGTTAGCTCAGGGCCAGTCTTCCTCAGCAAAAAGAGGAAGATTGGCCATAGATGTTAGCTCAGGGCTAATCGTCCTCAAAAAAGAAAATTAAAAACTCAGGCCCAAATGACTTCACTGGTAAATGCTACCATATATTTAAATAAGAATCAATACCAATTATTCAATATTAATTCTTCAATTAAGAGTTTAATACTAAACTCTTCCAAAAAAAGAAGTGGAGGGAATGTTTCCCAACTCATTCTATGAGGCCAGTATTACCCTGATACCAAAACCAAAGACATCACAGGACAAGAAAACTACAACCAATGTCTCCTATAAATATAGATGCAAAAATCCTCAACAAAATACTATCAAACATAATCCAGTAACAAATGAAAAACATTATACACCATGGCTAAGTGGGATCTATCCCAGGAATGCAAGTTTGGGTTAATATCCAAAAATCAATCAAAGTAATACACAATATCCATAAAATAAAAAATAAAAACCACATGATCATCTCAATTGACCCAGAAAAAGCATTTGACAAAATACAACAACCTTTCGTGATAAAAATGCTCATGAAGCTGGAAATAGAAGAGAGCTTCCTCAACCTGATAAATTGTGTCTATGAAAAACCCACAGCTAAGATCATACTTGTGGTGAAAGACTGAATGCTTTCCTCTAAGATCAGGAAAAAGATAAATATGTCTGCTCTTACTGCTTCTATTCAACATTGTTCTGGAGATTCTAGCCAGAGTGATTAGACAAGGATAGAAAACAAAAGGCATCCAGATTAAAAAGGATCTAAATAAGCATTTCCCCAAAGAAGCTGTACAAACAGCCAATAATAAGAACATGAAAAGATGCTCAATACATAGTAATACCAATTGAGAGATGATAGAGGCTTGGAGTAGGGTGGGTGCAATGGATATGGAGACAGCGAATAGATTGGAATACACTTTGGAACTAAAGTTGATGAGTAAGATGTGCTGATGGATTGGTTGTGAGGGGGCTATTGGAGGAGGGAGGGAAGGAGAGAGAAGGAGATTTCTCATACATATTTTATACCTTGAGTAAAAGGAAGGTGGTGCTACTTCCTGAGATACAAAAAATGGGGAAAGAAGATGTGATACAGGAAGTGGAGACGAATCAAGAATTTGCTTTTTAAAATGTTCAAAACCTGATTAGATGACCCGAATCAACTCATCCAGAAAGTCCAGAACCCTGGAGTAGAGAGGAAAGGCTTTTCTCTGACTAAGCTCTTTATTTTTTTACTGTGTAAAGATAGTGTTTGACTTTTTGTAATCAGCCACTTCCTGCTGAGGCATAGAAGAGAACATTTACAAATATTAGCTTCCCTCTGTGAGATACTTCTTTATAATATGATACAGACAGCCAAACAATTAGAACCGACACTTCTCTGCCACAGGAACTGGATGGATGTCAATAAAAAAGCAACTTGTTCAAGAGCAATCACATAATTCAGTGTTCTCAGGCCAAAAGAAATGCCATCATGATCTCCTCCCTGAAAGCAGTCTTAATGGAAATTTTCAAAGCAGGCAAACAGTTCAATCATAAAGCAGGGACCGGGAAGAAATGTGAACAGGTTTTCCCAAAAATAATGAGACCCAGGGATAAACTGAGTTTCTAGGTTACTTTCCCAAAATTTAAGTTTGGGTTTATTTTTCTTTTCTGTTTTGTTTGTATCACACAACTACAAATAAGATTCCCATATGCTAAATGCCAGACATCTCTGGAGAAATTATTTTTAAAAATAATAATTTAATGTTTATGAATAGCTGTTGATTTATATTCCACAGAAAATAAGGGCTGGGTTAGTAATTTTAAAAAGTTTGCAACTATTTTATCATGTTAAGACAAAAAACGAGTGTGTGAATAACTCAGAAATTTGCTAATGGATTGATCATGAGGAACTTAAGTAAATCTTGTGCATACATTTACAAGTCTGAGTTGCAGAAAGAAATACATATAGATGTATTTTTTGCATCTTTTATTGCATAACAATCTGCAGGCATTTTGGATATACTTTCTCTAACTTTGATATTTTTTCACCAATACCATTTAGAAAAATGTTTTTCTCTCTGCCTTGCTCTCAGACTTATATTTTTAAATGAATAATGCTTTCCTGTGTTTTTTACTCCTTGAGTATAATGTGTTGAATCAGATTGAGTAATATATAGTATTTTTCTTTACAGTGGTATTATTTCAAATCCACATCCTTTGCTGTTCAGAATAGTTTGTAGTAAACAGTTTTGCATTCATGGTGAATAGTAAAAGTTTTCTTCTGACGTTATCACCAGCATGATAGGAGAAAAACCAGAATCTTTACAGTTAGATTAAGTTAGAAGCAAACTACAAAGTTCTTAATACATGTCTATGTTGTTGCTGCTTTTTATTCAGATAGGAGCTAAAGAACATACACGAATCAGGGAATGAAAACGGAAAGTAAGCATGAGGGGCGGTGTAATGAACTCATTTATAAAGCAAGACTGATGCACAATGAAAACTCTAAAGGCTTTTTGTCTAAAAGTCTTGATCCATTTATACAGGTGATGTCCCCGGCATGCTTTCCAGAAAACTAATGTTCCTTTTAAAATAATGTTTTTTATTTTTGGTAATTCAGATTAAGAAATTTATTTTCTTATGCAGTTAACACCTTTTGTGAGCACTTAAGTTCCCACAGTTTACATATGAGGCGCAGAAAATCATATTTGTGCGAGATTTGTTGATTGAGGCTATGGAAAGATGTGATATTTGATTACACACTAAAGCTTCTCTTTCTGGGAGGAAAAAAAAGCTTCTTTTTTTGGGTTTCTGTTGGTGATATTATGATTTATAATAAGAAATATAAATTTAGTCTTTGTCCACATTTCTGACACAGAGCTCTTAGAATCCTCGGAATTCCCTAATTAATAAAGATGTCTTTTGTTACGTTAATGAGGTGACTTTTGGACCAGTGCCTCAGGATGGAGGCCAGTTGCCAGAAGACCCAACCATGTGATTAAAGGGTTAGAACTTTCAGTTCAACTTCCTGACTTCCGGAGAAGGGAGAGATGCTAGAGGTTGAATCAAGAGAAAATGGCCAATGATTTAATCAATCATGTCTATGTGAAGACATAAAACCCCAAAAGGATGGGGTCCAGAGAGCTTCTGGACTGGTGAACACATGGAGACTTGGGGAGAATGACGTTCTCGGAGAGGGCATAAAATCCCTTTTGAATCCCTTCCCATATATCTTGCCCTAGGCATGTCTTCTATCTAGCTGCTCCTGAATTATATCCTTTTATAATAAACCAGTGGTCTAGTAAGAAAAATGTTTCTCTGAGTTATGTGAGATGTTCTAGCAAATTAATCAAAACCAAGGGTGTAGGGGGTCGTGGGAACCTCTGATCTATAGCCAATTGGTCAAAAGCAAAGCTAACAACCCATACATGCGTATGCATACACACATACACAAACAATAAAAATCAGAAGTAGCAATTTGTATCCCATTCTTGGAAATTACAGTGGTTGCTTTATCTCTGGGCAGGATGACTGAACCTGCCAAATGCCAAGAGTCTCCACGACAAGTCCTGCAGTCTACTGTCAGCAACCCCTTTCCCAGTAATCCCTATGTCCCTATTTTAACCAGCTCCACCAC